CAGGCTCCCAGCATGCGGACCCAACGATGAAACTTCGAATCCAGAGAAGCAACTGCAAGGGCCACCACATACACGGATGCGAGTGAGTGCTTGTGGGAAGCCCGGAAGCCAGGAACACGATGCCAATCAGGAGAGAAGGGGTCGACGAGACAAGAGACAGAGTCCGTCGCGGGGGAAGACGGGAGGCGGGAGGGAGGGACAATGCAGGTTGAGGCGGGCAAAACGCAGAGCCGATCAGAGAGCGGGGAGGGCGGGGACGGCGATGGGTGGCGGACGGCGCTGGACTCCGTCCACGTGGCAGAGCGCGTGTGGGGGAGCAGATATAAATAGCAGAAGTGGATTGGAGGGGTGTCTCTAATTCGGCACCATGGAGCTTGAACTTGTCTAAAGGGCACCGGCAATGGGGGGTTTGGGTGGGGGTGGTGGGCCTGGATTGTTTGTCACACAGCATAGGGCAGGCTATGGTGGTTGATTGGGTGGTGGCATTATGTAAACACCAACAACTATTGCATGAGTTGTCCTTCTTTGACCATCTTTGCCCATCTTTGCCCAATGGAGGTGACATCATGCAAGTGCCCATTTGACACACTGAAAGAAAGAGACCCTGGATCAAGCTTTGAAGAACTCCCCCTTTTCACACCACCTGAGCCTCTTTCTTTCCCCTTCCACCACTTTGAAACAGTTGGCTTACTTGCTTGTTGCCAAGCCTGGCTGATTTTGATCATGCCTTCAAACCTTGGGGACTGCACCCCCATACACACACACACACACCCCCCCCCCCACTAGGCTTTTGTAGCTTCTGCTAGGTAGGAGGTGCATGGAAAGCTGAGCTAATGGGCAGCACAACTCACAAAGATGTCAAGAATGGGTTCATGCCCAAACTGCTGCTGTACTTGCAATTCATTTGTTCTTAGGGAAAATGAACTAGATTGGCCCACAGCAAACTTGTCCTTCAACACAGCCCCCAGCAATCACTCTCAGAGCCATTTTACTGGCAAGAGGGTGCAATGGGTGCCAAGGCAGGGGCAATTGTAATCAAAGGTTGAATGCAATGCACTGTTTATAGAAATCATGCAGCCCTGCCCAGAAAATAGCAGTGGTGTTTCATTCAAAAGCATTCCAAAGCTGATGAAGATGCAGTGGGCTTGCATCTCAAGATGAGTTCAAAGCTCAGATGGAGGGAACCTGTGAGGCTAGGAAGCTTAAAAGGGAAACAAGCCACTGTGTCCCGGACTGCCCTCATCCACCTTGGGAACTGCAGGATGAGGTGGAGGTGGGGTGACTTTTCCATTCCACCAGCATAACTTAGTCACAGGAGCTGAATTTCATGCACATCAAAGTGGACTGCTGCCTGTGATGTTGCAAAGACTTGCAGATGAAATCAAGGGTTTTCATTAATGGGGGGTTCGAGTGGGGCCATTTCAATGGGCTTGTGCCTCATTCAGTTTTTTACTTTCTCAAGATGTGCTCTCTTGTGGAAGCTTGCTCTCTGTCCACAGGATTGTTAGAGCAGCAGGAAGCCACCCCAACCCACAGCCTTTGATTTATTGGGCTTCACCACCACATGAACTAAGTTCAGATGGAGTTCAAGGCACCACATGGAGGCCATGGTTTCAGATCCACATGTGCCATTCTTCTGCTTATGGAACACTCGCACAATGCCATTTTGTGTACATGTTGGTGTTGGAAGCACTGGAAGTTAGACCTTAAGTCATTAGATGGATTATCAGCTGATGTAGGTTGCCTTACTTTAAGTGGCATGTGAATGTTTGCTTGGTTCATCTCTGTAGCTGTAGTGACAATTGTGTGCTCAACAATGATAAGTGTACATGCAACTGTGATGGGCAGGCTGGAAAGTGGATTACAATGAATTTCTCTAGGGACTTTTTGTCATTCAAATATGAGCCAAACAAATTTATATGTAATTGTGATTCAAAGTTTTGTGTTGTTAAATTCCAATTTGAGTTTACATATATTTATAGTCCAATCCTGCATGTGAATCAACAAACAGAGTTGAGAATGTGATGATGTATTTGGAAGAGAATGAAATTTTAGTGTCAAACTAATTAACATTTCATAATACAATGTTCATTAAAATATTTATATTACAGTGGCACAAAAACAGGCATTTATCTCTAGAAATTTGAATTACTATTGTAAATATATTTAGTCTTGAAATAAAAACCTTATTCTTACAGCAATTAGATTGCATAACACATATTGGGTTGATAAAATTTATATTTACAACAGCTTCTTGTTTGGCGATTAAGAAATTGGCAATTTGATTTGTAACAGTACAAGTTTTAAATATTTGCAATATTAATGTGTGTGACATTTGTTTTAATTTTAAGCCAAATCCTTTTTTTTAATAAAATATAGCACTTTTTTTGATATATATATATATATATATATGTATATCTATATATACATATGTATTAATGCATTTA